CCTGCATCAGCTATTGAAATTACAAACACATGTGCAAAAATGTTATCCCTACAGGATTTATTAGATCACACAACGGCGAGAATATTGATGATAGATTCCGTGTACAAAAACGGTTTGAAACAGTTGGTTTTATACGGTAAATGGGGATGTGATGGCTGGTCAAAGTGAGTGTAAACAAAGATTTCCAGAGGAGTCTGAACTTGTGTCAGACTCATACTTATTCTTCGCGTCCGTTGTGCCCATCAGATTAGTTGATGAAACGACTGGTACTGTTGTTTGGCAAAATCCTGCGCCTTCATCCGTGAGATTCTGTTGCCCTTAATTGTGTTTTCGAAATAAACTCCTGAGAAAACTAAAGCTGTTGTTGACGATATTCAAAATCAAATTGATTCTTTGAGTCCATCGTTGATTGTTAAGGAAAGCAATGGCGTTCAAGTGGTAGTTAAACATGAACTTTTTTGACCATGATAGACGTCAAAGTAGCTCAGATATTAACCGACACTCTTTCAAGTTAAACATGTAATATTTACTACTTTATATTTATTCCACGTCTAATGAATAATTTACGAAATGTAACTGCTAGGCCCGAAAATGAAAATTCTTTTCGTTGTAGATTATCAACACTGCACGCCTGGATTCGCTGTATGGAGATGATTTTGCATATTTCTTAAAACCTTTCGTTTCAAAACTGGTCAGCTACGTGTGACAAAAATAAACAAATGAAACAAAAGAAGAAAACTTGCACAAAAACGCTTTCGAGAAGAGCTTGGATTAATAATTGATAAACCACGGCTAGGAGGTGATAATACCAATGACGGTAACACTGCGAGGATTTTTTATAATGAAGTGTACTCAGCTGAAATTACAGGAGTCGATGAAATTTTATTTTGATAAAGCGACTCTATATATTCCTTCTAGCTTTATTGAAAAGATCAAGTTCAGTGACCCACAAGTAGCTATAGCGGGTAACTCAGTGGACCTAGTTTCGGTGGCGAAAAATCTAGGTGTTCTTATGGATGGTTCTCCTCATTTCGAGGGACATAACCTTGAGACAATCCGAAATTGTTTCTATCACTTGAAAGTACTGTATCGCGTGAGAAATTTCATTGACGTTGATTTGCGTATAAAGCAGCCATCGTACCTTTATGACAAGCTCAAGTTCCCATCCGTGCACGTTAGACATACCTCTCGTCTCGTATGTCCTCGACACAGAACAACGAGCTTTCGAGGTAGCTTTCGTTATGCTGCCTCGAAATGCTGGAATAACCACCTACCACCACCAATCAGAAATGCTTCGTCACGTTTTACTTTTAAAAAATTACTTAAGCCGTATTTCTTTAATAATCAGCAATTTCCAGCATAGCTGCTGATGCTGATGAGTGTCGGAGATGTGGGAGTTTTATTGTTAACTTTGGCTAGTACTAATAGAATATCTGAATGCTAATTATTACAATGTCACAATTGAGCTATTGTTTACAATTACCCTATTATTTACAGTTGCTTTATTATTTACAATTGCACTATTATTTACAATCACCCTTTTATTTTATTATTATACTATTATCCATAATTATATTAAATTATACACGTCATTGCCGTCTACTGTGTTCCGTGCTATGTGTTCCCTGTCGCCGAATTCACTGAAAATCAGCGTCGCCGCATTGCAGTGAGACGACACCAAGCTGAGTGGATGACGGATTCCGTAACAGCACAGCATGCACACGTTATGGCGTATCGTTTTATTATTTATTGTTGCAGTTATTTGCTTCCTATTAGTGTGTTATTTGTGTGTATTATCTAATTGTTGTTTTTTTTCACTTTTTTTATTTCGATTTTTTTTCATGTTATATTTATGTTTTGTAATTGTTAAATGTATGTGTACTGTGTTGTTTCTTTATGGAATAAATATTTCTTTCTTCTTTATTTCTTTCATCACTTGAAGAATAGGTAAAAGCCAGTGTGTGAATATGAAGGAAATGTGATGTAAAATTTGTATATAATCCATTTTATGCATTTCAGTAACTTTGTACTTTATATAAGATACGAGTTTGAGAAAGTAAGGGGACGATATAGGTTTATGGGTTAGTCTAGGCGTACTGAACTTTAAATTTAGTTAGCATTTTGCCGAATCTACACAAATATTTATTTACATTATTTATAACACATTACCTACTTATCCATCTAATAGCATAAATACTGTATTTCGTTTCTTGGCTAAACAACTGGTCTCTTTTTGTTGTTATTTTTTTACTTTTATTATTTAGGTGTTAAGTTTAGGTGGGATAAGAGCACGTCAAGCTTGACACTTAAGATATAAAAACTAATATAACTCTATACTGCTTGGGATAAGAACTATCCAAAGACCGATGGCGATGTGTCAAGCACGATGTGCTCTTGGCTGTACGTGTATAGTTGGTTGAATATTACCGGACGTGTTTTTCGAAGGAAATAAGGGTAATAAAAAGTTGTATTTTCAAAGGAGACGTTTCGTAGTAATCTTCTGCGATGTGTTGTGTGCTACAACATATTTTGAAGGTTTCCAATATTTATCATTTCAAATGTTGAGTTTTGCAAGTTGCAGAAATTAAATGTTAATTATTAAATAAAGTTATAAAATGTACATAATACTGAGTAATATTTAAATTTGCAAATATTATCAGACTAAAGATAAGAATAAAGAAAGTTTCAAGTTCCTTTGAAGTGCTGCCCACTATGTTGTTGCTAATGATGGTCTCAAGTGGTCAACGTGAGATATGTAGAAATAAACAATTTATCTAACTACCCTATGGAAACGGTAATTGTCTTATATCAGTGGGATGCATACATTTGTTACAATAAAGATGTAACCGTTTTGGTAGTGTGAATTACATATCGTCTGTAAAAAGTTCAAATGATTAAAGTGCCACAGAGCGAATGTTACTAATATAATTAATGAATTAATGATTTTAGACTAAAATTATGTAACTCCTGTTACACCTCATGTGGTGATTTGGAAGTTTCCACAATATTATTGTACTACACCCGAATGTATGAAAAATAGTCTTACGTGTTGTGTTCATAGGTACATCACTGCTTGAACGCTTGTGGAACACGTACAAAAATTTATACGAAGATGACCCAAACTACATTACTGTTCTTGTTAAGAACTTTCGGTCCGATGCCGACATACTCAGGATTCCCAACGAATTGTTTTACTGGGAAAAGCCTTTGCAGGTTGGTACAGGTGCAACATGATAATAGTGCTACGTAAAATTTATTTTTAGCACAAAAAAGCCCATTTTCTTAACCTGGATTTTGCCACATCTATAGTAACATGATGGAGAGACCATGTTCCAATTGTGCTCTGACAGCTAGAATATTTACGGACTTTTGTTACACGGAGTATAAAGCGTGGTCGCTGAACGCATGACGCGATAACCAGATTTAGGAAAATATAGACGCGTTTCTTCTATTTCTTTCTACTTTATTTATGCCAGTGTGGCGCCCTCCCATCTTTTTCGTCTCGTCTGTAAGTGTAACCACGCCTAACTCCTTTTTTATTTATTTACAGCCCCAAGCACATCCAGATGTTTTGAGCAGAACCAGCATACTAGATATGCCAGGCGGTGACAGGGCTATCGTTTTTCACTCTGTCAATTCTAGAGAACAAAGAATGGGAAATGCACCAAGGTATTATAACACTTTATACGTATTAAATTAATGTTTACTTAATAAAGTGATTTGTTTTGTGACGCTGCCGCAATGTCGTCGCGTACAAAAGCACAAGCACACTCGGAACGGAAGAATTTGACAGTTCTTTTCCTTTGCAATCGGGACTCGAAATCATCAAGATATTTATTTTCTTTGATAATTATCCATGCTGATTCATAAGTTTATCTCCTCAATTTTTGACGAAAAATGACAATAATTGAGAAAAGTAAATAAACACGAAGTAAAATCTTTGGAAAAACAATTTGTTTTGTGATATTTGGATAATACAAACACTATTCACAACATTGCTAACTATAGCATTTTGTTGTTCCAATAAATTTTATAAATATAAAGATCATTGATCATTGATAAATGATCAATATTAATTATCTGTTGGAACCCTGTTTGCAATACGTAGCATGGCTGTACTTTTGGTCACTATTAAGTAATCTGTTCTTTAGTTACTAATCCATAATTATTATCATTTTGTTATAGTTACTTTAATGAAAAAGAACTGATGATGCTACAAAAATACATAATCGCATTGACGAGAGAACACTCCGTGTTGGCGGGAGATATTGGCGTTATTGCTCCGTACATAAGACAGGTAAGTTTACTGCTATTAATAACAATAGTACCAGATACCACATCAGTTGCCTGGTATCTGACTAGGATATTCCCTGTAGTAAAGTACAAAAGAAACGAAATTAACTCTGGGATACCACTAAAAATACCCAAACTAGGACTAATTAACAAAGTTTCCCAAATTGATCCTACCGAGAATCGGATCCGGGACTTCCCGTCAAGCGCCCAGAGTTTTAACCGCTGAGTCACCTAGGTCGTCATTAATAGATATTATTATTTAAAAAACACTATTTGGAATATAGAATAAAAAATATTCGCCCCCCATTGATGTGTGATTGATGTGCGAGAACCGTCGAGTATGTAACCAGAGATAGAGAGATTCTGCCAAATCACTACGGTGACAACTACACGCCGGTTGGCCAGCCAGCGAATTCGAAATAATTGACGGATGTCGTCAATTGTTTCACTTCAAATCGACCAGTTAAACTTGAGCTTTGCTATAATAGACGATAATGGAAAAAATACATATAACATTTAATTTCCGATGAAATGTGATTCCATTTGTTTTGTAATTAGATGTTTTGCTGTTCCCACACAGCATCTCAAACAGCCCCCCATAGTTAGAGATAGTGTCTTTATTACAATAAATACAGAATATTTTTTCAATATACGGAGACTTACACACAGGTCAATTGTTGTCGCTGTACTATTTCAGCTTTCTAATTTTGTGATGAAGAGTTGATATTTGAAAGTAGTATAAGGCCCATTTGCCTGATGAGTTGCCAGTGATGGATAACCCTTATTTCGTCTCTGTTTCTGGTTATATACTCGATGGCGAGAACTCTTAATTGCATATATAGTGGTATTTGTGTGTTTACAGAAGGATTTGTGGTTTTATTTGTGCTTTTTATGCCGACGACACATCACTATATACGCAATTACGACTAATTCCGAGCTCTCGTTAATAACACTAAACTAAACTAATCTAAAATCTACTCCACACTAAATCGCCCTTACAACCGAATAATATGGTAATATGCTGCTGCGGTAGTTTTCATTTTATTGCATACCCGGTGTTTGGTGCATTAATTAGACCTTTTAATTTTTTTTTAAATATTTCTATGGATATTTATAAAAGTACATTAATTTCATTGGCCCCGTAATGAACATAATAATATTATTCCTTTAATATCTAAACACCCTTTTTACACGAATAATACCATAACAAGTTAATACAGATTAAAATCGTAAGTGATGATTACCATTTTATTCGCGTAAGAAATACATATTGTGTTTCATGTAAAGCTTAAAAAAATTATATTCGTGTGTTATTTTTATATAGAATGTATGTATTTTCATAATTACATTTCTGTTTATTTTTTGATACTATACATCCACAAATATTACTGTAATGTACTATTACTGTATACACTATCGCTTGGATTTCAAACGAATAAAGTCGTAATATCATATTACCGTTACCTTTTTTGACACCATATTTCACCGAATAATACGGTAATGCATTAATACTGACTACGAAATCGCTGGGTTTATACGCGAATAATATGGTAATGATGCGTTGCATACTATACTTTTGGCCTGCAATTTCAGTAATATTGTTATCATCAATAACTTTATTTAAGTAAAACTAATACAAAAATATCATAAAAGAAAATAAACTGTAAAAAAATTAGCTTTGTTTTGACATAGAAATAACTATCCTACGATGCACCCAAGCCGAGATATACACAAAAAATAGTTTTCTATTTTTCCTGTAAAATTTAGAATTATCGGTTACCGTATTATTCGCTGGGGATTGAGAAATAAGTATAGAGATAAACAATAGAAGGTAAGAAATTAATGTAATGACCAAAGGTTGTTTTGTATACTCTGTAGCTTTTGTTTCCAGTAGCATTGAACAAGATGCATAAATATCGCTTCCGTTCCTTGTACATATCATTCAACCAAATCAACCAACAATTAGCGTCCAGTTACACGACGAGAAAGCTTTCGCGTGGCCGCCGCGCGAAAGCCGTCCAGTTACCACGCGTTCACGTACATTACTGGCGAATCCGAATTCTATTTACTAGACAACAACATTTAAATTAACTGATGAGGAAGGAGACTCGTTTAGTATTGTATAACAGACCAATAACATTTTTGGTTTCATCAAAATCATATAAATATTAATCGCGTAGTAGAAGCGTGCTGGATGCATAACTTTGTAAAACACCACAATTGTTAAGCACTGACTTTTTTTAAATCAATGACGTAATACTTACTACACACTTGGATACTTTGATATTATTCCAACGTACAACTATAAAGCCAACATTTTATGCAAAAATAGAAACAGAGCTAGCATGTTATGTCACGTATTTCAATAAAATAGCGTGAGGAGGAAAGTGATAGCAAGTGTCATATAATATTGAATAGATAACAGACTAATTTTTATTTGTTTTTTCAAGATCATATGAAAATCAATCAAATTATAACTAGTTTCTGAATTATAATTAATATATTTAAGACGAAAATAAAACTTAACGGAAATTAGATAATAGTCCAGTACAGTTATTCTAAAAATATAACTGATCCATACCTCATTTCTCTCAACAGGTATACAAAATGCGTGATTGGCTAAAACTGAACAATTACGAAGATGTCGAGATCGGCACTGTAGAATCATTCCAGGGGAAAGAAAAAAGGGTGATTCTCGTGTCCACAGTACGCGCTAACTGCAGGCTGCTCGACTATGATGCCAAATACGGACTGGGATTCCTGGTAGATGACAAAGTGAGTGCAATCTTCCAGTGTATACAGTTAGACCAAACTATTGACGAAAATTTGGATGTTTTAAAGTACTAACTTTCTTTTTCTATTTTTTACAACATTATTCTGTAACCCAAATTACGTAAAAAGAGTATTGTAACAAAAAGTTGTGCCGTACTTGAGCTGATTATAGTATTCATGTTAACAAACAAATTCAGCAAAAAAAAAAAACACTCAAATACCTTTTCTATCCAATACAAAAGAGTTATTTCGTTAAAAGTACTAAAATAAATGAAAAATTTAACCAGACTATCGGTTGGTTTTTTGTAAAAAGCGCTTAAAATCTAGAAATTCTGAAATGGAAACAGTTATTTTTGACCTGCAATTTATAGAAAATCGTTAAATATTTTTAATAGTATGTAACGTAAAACGGAGCGGAATCCCACGGAACGGATCGCATTTTTGTTTTTTTTTCTTTTGCTAGTGGCTAATGCCCTAAAAATATAATGACAGATCAGATATCAATGTCATTCTTGTTGCAAAGTGTCGCCTTTTACTAATAGCTACTTGCCTGCTGACCCTTGCTATGTCTGAGATAATCACAGGAGCTATGAAATCCTCACAAAAAAGCTCTCCAAATCGAATTTATTTATTTATTTATTCATTTAATATTTGTAGCTTTACAGATAAATCCAAATCGCTACAAACAAAAACAAAAAAAAAACATATCAAATAACATACAAACAAATAAACATAATACAGTTCACAGGATTGAACTCACAGGCATCAATGGTTCAAACACTTTCTTGCATTCACACATCAGACATCCAATTGTGCTGTCAAACAAATCAGAGTGTGGTGCCGCCTCGAGAACGGAGTTGAGGAGCGTGATGGCGCGCAGCACTGGTGTGTTTCGGTGTGACTGCGTGCGGGCCAGGCCCCGCGCCAGCAGCATGTGGTGTCGCGCGCGCCTGTACTCATCCGGCACAAACAGCCTTAGCATGCGCTGCAGTAAATAGGCGGAGTCAATTTTACCGCGAATAATATTGACACCAAATTTGGCCAGCGCGAGGAACCTACGCAACTGTAGCGAGTCAAAACCGAGATGCCCTTGTATGAAAAGCGTGGGATACATGTACGGGTAATAACCGTAGCGCCTTTTGTATAAATGGCGGAGAAACTGTTTCTGCACCTGCTCCAACATGAGGTTATATTTCTTCTCACAAGGTATCCAAATCACCGAGCTTGTCTCCAATATACTTCGCACTAATGACATGTAGAGCGTGCAAGTCGCCCGGTCTGAGAGATGAGAGGCATTTCGGAGTACAAACCCCAGTCGTCGGCATGCTGCCGACGCAACTGATTCCATGTGCGCACAGAATGTCAGACGGCTGTCGAATACAACTCCAAGGTCCCGTGACTGAGTGACTCTTGTAATTGGCATATTTTCTAATACATACATAAACTCACGCGGTTGTGGTGATCGCGTAAAGCTGATCACCTCACACTTTGCAAGGTTAAAGTACAATTTATTATTTTTACTCCAATCGTACACACTATCAAGATCCCTTTGCAACACCATCGCATCCTCTCCACCTTTTACGGACCTGACCAATTTCACATCGTCGGCGAACAGGAGCACGGTGGAATTTTGTACTACGTCTGGGAGATCGTTGATCATAATAACAAAGAGCAAAGGACCCAGGTTTGAACCCTGGCTAATTCCAGAAAGCGTTTTATAGGAACTTGACGCAAACGGCCCATACTTTACGAATTGCTCCCTATCAGACAGATAACTTGCAAATAATTTAAGAAGCCGCGGCGAGAAACCCATGCTCATTATCAACCTTGTCGAAAGCCTTCTGATAGTCGAGGTAGATAACATCCACCTGGTTACCTGTTTGTAGCTCGCTTGATATGTAATCCACGAGATGGCAAAGGTTGGTCGCGACTGATCGATTTGGCAGAAAGCCGTGCTGAGCCTCGGTAATATATGGCCGACATTGCGGCAATAAATACCCGTGCAGAGTCATTTCGAATATCTTCGCAAGAGAACATAATATAGCTATTGGTCGATAATTTTCTACTGCAGTTTTCGATCCCGTTTTAGGCATTGGAGTGACGCGAGACTGCTTCCAAATTTTAGGATATTTACCAAATTCTAACACCAGATTAAATAAAAATGTGATGGGATCCACAAGAATATCAACGCAACCTTTAATTATAAACGCTGGGAAAGCGTCAGGGCCTGGTGATGAACTCGGCTTCAATGTCTTAATAGAGGCTCTAATATCCGACTGTGTGAAATACGACACGTGCACGTGCCTACCACAGGAGTCCGCAGTTGAACCAGCCCAGTCAAGCAACGGATTCTCGGAAAGAAAAACAGAGCTGAAGTACTCCGCAAATGCTTGAGCCGCCCCCGCACCACGATATTCATTGCCGCATTTTGTGAGTTTATTTTCTATACCACCGCTACTTCGCAAACCATTCACGTAAGACCAAAACTGTTGGGGGTTATTATGTATCTGGTCTGATATCCTACGCATGAAGTCTAAATAGGCCTTAGATACATCTACCTTGATTTTAGATCGAAGTTCTGCAAACTTGTTATAGTGTTCTAGATCACTCGTAGTCTTCCATAGACGATGATAATTAGCTTTGGTGCTAATATCGCGTATAATTGGTTTTGTATAATATACAGGATATATCCTACCACTATGAGATCGCTTACGTATTTTCATCGGTATACAAATGTCGAATATATCATAAATGACATTATAGAAATACTGGACCGCAGCCTCAACATCTCTGATCTCGTATAAAGTTTGCCAATCTACAACTGGAAGTAATTGATACAATTGATTAAAATCTCCTTTAGCAAAGTTCCAGTCTAGATGATGACCAATATTTGAGGGCTCCATTCTAGATGTTTTGTGACATTCGTACACAAATTGCATCATTAGTGGCGGGTGATGGAGATCAATCTTAGTGAGAACCTCATGCGGAGCAGCTGCACATACTTGTACCTCACTTCTCATCTCGTCGCTAGTCAGCACCACATCTAGACATCTTCCATTCATATTTGTGACGTTATTAAATTGATAAAAATTACAAATTTTTTGAAAACATTGAAAATACTTATTAACATTATCACTAGCACTGTAAAGGTTCAAGTCGCCCAGAATTATAACCCTTTCACTAGAGTGTTTGGCGCACACTTGTTCTACACAGTGGAACCACTCAAAATAGCGCTCATCACTACACGAGGGTGAGATGTACACAACATTGACATATATATAACTGCCGTTCACTACAACTCTAGCCCAAAGGTCCTCACAACGCGCGGTTTCGTAGGGCTGCATACGTTCGAGACATATTGGCGAACGGGCTGCTAGCATAACGCCTCCACCGCCGCGCGCTACTCGATCCTTTCTCAATAGCCGCCAGTCATCGGTACCACAAACCTCTGAGTCATGAACTGACATATCCAAGTTAGTCTCGGTAATAGCCACCAGATCGACGTCAACTAGTAATAAAAGATTAGTTCGAAATGTAGCAAGTTTAGATTTAAGCCACCGCACATTCTGATAGTAGGCCATCAAGTGGAGTTTTTTGTGCACACGCTTAGGCACTCTGGCTTTTTTTCCTTTCCCTTTCGTGGGTTCTACGAAAGGGCAGTGTCCAAGGTTTTATACATACGCCTTGAGGCCATGTTTCAGGTGTCATAACTTTCTCAGCAGAACTCCAAGCTACGGTGAGCTTAAATGACGCATAATTGCCTCTAGCTTTTAACGACTCAATGGATAGAACTGCACTGGGATCACAAACTGTATTCAAATGTAGTCGTATTTGATCTACCGAGGTACCAGTCTTTACGAAGTAGAGATGCAAATGGCGGACGCGCTCAGATGCTTGAAGCTGCGACACACCTGGTCTGGCACTACCACATGTCACACGAGCACGTTTTTGGGCGCTGCGTTCATAGACTTGGTATTCTTAGATTTACGTACAGCCGGCTTCTTAGTAGCAATCTTCGAAGTCTCTGAATTATTCCTCTCGGAGGTTATAATTCTAGCTCCGGACAGCACATTCAGCTTGTCCTCAACAATGGAACTTATTGTGGACGTTAAATTAGACAAAGTACTATTGATTAACGTCTCAATCTTACCAACTATGGCTACACTAAGTTTATCAGCTAAATTGTCGCATAATGAAGTACTTAGTTCCTCCCGGACTATTTCTCGGAGAGCATATGTGTTAACGGACTCATCCAGGAAAGTGTCATTCATAATACATTTTGGTACGCTCTGGATGTTCGACTGTGGATTTCTACGTCTAGTTACATTTTCATCATCATTAGACAGACTTGCATATATTCCCACAGGAGTGTTGCTATTATCCCCCTTTGGCTGTTTGCAGCAACAGGCTGGACATTTCCACTTAGCCCTGTGCTCCACATTCATAGTATTGTAGTAGCGCTGTTCACTAACATTAGCGCAATCTAAACAGTAATCACCGTCACATAGACTACAGAGTAAATGACGCCTTGGGTCAATGTCATTGGTACAGCCCGAACACCTTACCGAACTCATTTCGCCGTATACAAGCGATGCAGCTACGGTTGCCAACAAGTATGGTACAGTGCCGTAGTCACTTCGTAGCGCCTGCGCTACGCGTATGCCGACGTCACGTTGTAGCCATGTAGTAGGGGACCGGTTATTTCGTCGCTGTATAGCGAATCACGATGGCGCGTTGGATACTCGGCAGACTTTGGCACAGACGACGCGGGTTCAAATCCACACTGAACTCGGAAAAATATGCTGCTCCCTTTCTAAGACCGCCCAGTGGGTGTCGATCACTCGTTAAACGCTCCTTCGTTAGACATGGAATTCACTTTCTCAATAATTGTCCAATCACAAATTTAATATTCGAATTAACTTAAAAATGAATCTACAAGATCGACACGTCCGTTCTCGATAAACACTCCGACTATACTTCAACTATACATCGAATGTCTGGAGCCTCCTTTACATCTTCGTAGACAATTCCTTGCCAACAGATTTCTTTTTAAAGTCGTTCAATTCTACTCTCACCCTTTGATCCCCACATTACAATCCTTGTCGGACCTTATTCCCTCCTCTAATTATTGGACTTACAAGAAACACCCCCTGCTTATCAACAGTTTCAACAAAATTTTCCTTCCTTTTCCTATTTCCCAAAATTATAGGAATCCGCTGTTTGAAGCCGATTTTAAATGCTTAACGTTCCGTCCAACAGTCTATCTTAATTTTGGAATCATGAAAGATGAGCCCGTGAGCCAACCAAGTCATCAATGATATAGTGGAGGGAAAATGGCATGACTGGACAACTGTTTTTACCGACGCATTAAAATTACACGAACATGGCGACTTGGGTGCCGCGGTTTGGTTCGCCAAGTTCAACTTCTTGCTTAGTTTTAAATCCCCATATCTGAATTCGGTATTCTCTGGAGAGTCCATTGCAATTCTTGAAGCCATTTTCTATATTGAATCCCATAAAATAAATAAATGTTTAATCCTATCAGACTCTCTAAGCTGCCTCCAAGACATCATTAAGCTTCCATTCCATTCCAAAGATAATTTCTCCATCACCCTCGAAATTAAGAAAGCTCTGCACCGATGTCACTGTGGAGGAATTGAGGTAACTCTGGCCTGGATTCCTGGCGACTGGGATCAGTGGTAACGAAGTAGTAGACGCCTTTGCAAAAGATGCAACAAGAACCGGTGTGTGCAAATATAATAAGTGCTTCCCTAGAGCTGTGTTAGTGTGTTAGTTCTTCTGCTCGCCATGACCAAAACTCAAATGCTAGCTTCTTGGCGGAATTGTGGCAGGAAACACGACAAACTGTTGGTAAACACTATGGTAACCTTCAACCAAATCTACCCACTAAGCCCTGGTTTTTTAAATGCCGCAATTTGCTTAAAAAGGTCACTTCTACCATTATACAATTGCGCCTAGGTCGTGTTTGCACCTGGGTTTTATTGCGTAAAATCAGAGTCCAAGATCACTTTCTGCGCGCGTGTGGCCCAGAGGACGGTAGCTTGGAACACATTTTTTTCAATTGCCCTAATATTTCTGTCCGGCTTTATAATTTGTTACCTCCAAAATTCCCCCGCCCCACTAACATAAATAATCTTTTAACTTTTGTGTTTTCCCCCTATATTTCTACTCTAAGTAAATTCATCCAGTTAAATAATATATATATAAATCCGTGCTATATATTTGTGCCGTCTTTTGTTTTAGATACTCACCTGAGTACTTCCGTGGACCAATCCATCAACACCGGTTAACGTCGTAGTAGAACTCAGTGTTTTTTTTTTTTTTGATAATTTTTCTTTCCACCGTGACTTTGGCAAAATCATCATTCTATGTAATAATGGAGCCATAAAAATAAAAAGTGAAGTGAATAACTACTTGCATGAAAGAGATACCATTATGGCTAGGCAATTGCGCTATCTTACACAATTTGTTTTTCATTTAAGCGGATTTTGAACTTTTTTAGTATCGCAGTGATGCGGATAATCAACAAAATATTTGTGAACTTGTGTTTTAAATCATTTTTAAAAAATGCAGGTCACAATATTTTTCTATTATTCTCTAGCAAAAAAGTTGATACCGGTTAAATATTTCTGGGAATAAAATGCCAAGCACCATACTGATTTGGTACAAGTCCCTTCCAACAAATTACTTTTTTATTTTGACTGCGTATTTGCACTCTTTAGTTGACACCTTAACAATCTTGCTATAAAATTATATCCAAAAAAAGTAACAGACCGACAAAACCCAAAAGCTGGCAACAACATTGCCCAACATATTAGCATAGCTAACACAACGTTGGAACGCTGCCAATATTTTAGGCACCCAGGCCAAGGTCAAGATCTAATTTTATCAATTTTTTTGTAATAATAATAATGCACCAGAAAATAACACCAACTACCTGGTCTCCGACTAGAGAATTCCCATTACTATGAGCACCAGAGCAATAGAACGTTATTTTAAACATTTTTTGCTAATTTAAAAGGTTTTGCTTTCCTAAAGTGGTTTGTTATCATGACTACGATCACCAACTGAACTATGGTTTTTGTTACACCCTGTATTTTAGATCCCTTACTTTATATATTTATATAAGCTCTGAATAGTATCAATATAATTATAACAGGGTATTTTTAAACCGTCATACTTTCTTATTATGGCATTATCTTTCACAGAGGTTCAACGTAGCTCTAACCCGAGCCAAAGCAAAACTCATTATAATCGGGAACGCGACCTGTCTGGTAAGAGACGAAAAGTGGCGGAAATACATGAACGTTTGCAAAGAATACGATTGTTACATTGGTCAAGAAACTGAGCAGATGCCTCGAACTGAGGCTTTACTTAAAGATGTAACAAAAACAAGGTTCGCAAAGTGCCTTCTTAGTGAAGTAATCGAAAAAGCTATGAACACGAAAGTCGACAAAAAAATAAAAAACAAAAAGAAAAATAAAAAGTAAATCGGTTGATTTATACATTTCAAAAACAACAGCTGTATTCTTCAGGGCGCGACGTCGCGCCGGTGGGCTACAGCGTCGGTAGTACTATCTTGACCGTGCGTTGTATTGCTTATTGATCTAGGTTGCAATTTTAAGATTTCCCCTTGAACTATACTACTTCGTGTAGTAACATTACCTACAGTTACGAAATAAAAATTATTCCTATAATATGATTCATATTTGCAAATGAATTATTCATAAGTAACGAGTGTTCACTTCATTCGTGCTAGTCGCTACATGTCACACGTAAGCACAGCCGTGTTCCAAACTTTTAAATTAGGTCCCAAATCGTTATTTCACCGATTACAAAGCCTGAATTCCATAGGTCTGAATACAGATGTGGTCGAAATATATCACAGCGATTTACCTGTGCCATCTAGTATATAACCAGAAATAAGAGACGAAATGTCATTTAATTTGTTTGAAAACTATTCTGCCATATCATTACTGTGACAACTGCGCTCTGATTGGCCAGCTTGAATTCGAAACAATTGACAGGTGTCGTCAATTGTTTCACTTCAAATCGACCAGTTAACTTGAGCTTTGCTATATATAATAAACGAAAATTGCAAAATTACATATTTAATTACCAATGAAATTTGATTCCATTTGTTTTGCAATTAGATGTTTTGCTGTTTTTCCTTACACCACCGAATGGAACAGCACGCCATTGTTAGAGTGATTATCTTTATTACAATAAATACGGAATATTTTTGGAATATGCGGAGATGTACAAACAGGTCTGTTGTTGGCGCTGTCTATATTTCAATGCAAACAAGAGTTGATATTTATAAGTGATATATCACTGATGAGTTACCAGGAATTTATGGCCCTTATTTCGTCTCTATTTCTGGTTATATACTCGATGGCCTGTGCACACATTAAATCGTTTTGATGAATATTCACAACTTTACTACTGCACTTGATTGGTATCAATCGCACTTTTTTTCGCGCGCTGATTTCCAAACTTCATCCATTTCACAGGTCAGATTTAAAAAATAATTGTCATTTTCATTCTCTATAATTCTTCTACCTTTATTCTGTTTTCTCCATAAATTTAATAATATACACAACAATGTTTTTAGTTTTGTCTGGGTTAAGATCTGGAAATCACAGGGTCTATATTATTGTTATTACCTATGGTGCTAAATTAGTATTGAAATAAATATTAATATGTACCTGTACATTAATATAGGGTGTAATATAAAAAGTCTAATTTTGTGCTAAAGTTTGTTATCATTGACGATATCTGGTGATGATAATCACCAACTGAAGTTTGACTCTACTCTCTTTATACGTATGTACTACTCATATTTTTACCAAGTTTATAACAAAATGTATTTAGTAAGGAACATAGTTTAAGATTATATCATGTCTGATGAATAAGAGATTTTTGAAATTATATTTATCGCAATTTTTTTATAAAAAAATAAGTTCGTGGTAAGTAAACTAACGCTCAATTCTATTCTTGACATGAACAGTGCTCACCATAGGCCAAGAGTGTAAGTATCGTAAAAATCTCGAATTTGTGGCATACACAATTCGATGTGTTTATTCCGGTTGACTACAAAACTTTCACGGCCAATTTACATATAGTACATTATATAGGACGTACTAATGGTAATGTATTGTATAGTACGCGTACAATACTAAAAGTATCACTATTAGTACCTTTATATTTTATATCGACTCTATGTTCTATATACACTCTATGCTCTTGCTGCTACATTTTTACTTTTATTTTCGAACTAGTTTTAAATCTTTGACACAAATTAATGATTTCGTCTTTCCTCTTGCTTTTGTATAAAATTTGACAAAGTATTGTTATGATAAACGAAAGATATATAGTGTGTGCGATAGTTCCAAAGAAATTAATTAAATTCGTCTTTATTAAGTAATGCATTGACTGTGATCATTATCACTTATTATAATACATTATCAATTTTATAAACGTTATAATACCGAGATCGATATTTTTATATGTGTAATTTTACTTTTATTTTAATGCAATTTTTTTTAATAAATAATTTGGATTTATATTTTTTCTTTTTATTTACCCACCAACCAAAATGCATGAAAAGTTGTAACGTGCGTTTTTTAACCGGGACGCGGTGTGAGAAAATCCGAAACCATAGGAAATACGAAAACTGGCTTAGGCACGATTAAATCTTTAAAAAAATATTTATGCACGACTAAGTACTTCGACTAGGATTTAGTTCATTGCATTCTATTGTATGAAAAAAAAAACAATAAATTTGATTAACTTCTGCTGTGACCATTATTTCCTTCCGACAATGAAATTATCTTTACAAGCCGAACAGCATAAAAAAATGAAAATATTTACGTTCATGGACGACTCACACTTGACTAAAAGAAATTGCCTGCCAAAATTGTTTTCACAAAAAAAGACCTTATGATTCCTAAAACAATTTCCTTAGTACTAATATAGTTAAGAAAAATCTTAAAAGAGGACAGAAAAAAGAAAAACACTATAATAATTGTTTTCCATCCTATAGGTACGATAATACCAATGTCTTCATAGGGGTTACCTATCACAAGCTAGAAACATGATTTACAGAATTTTGTTTCTCCGAAAACCTTTAGACTTTTATTGAATAGATTTTGTTTCATTTGTCCGAAAACATTTTACGGTTTTTTTCATTACACCATTTAATGTTTCACTATTTAGACACATTGACAAGTTATTCTTTCATTAAGGGTGGGGACAGAGACTGTGCCAATAATTTTAGACCCATCTCCATTCTTCCAGCAATGTCTAAAATTCTTGAACGGATTATGAACAAAAGGCTTATCGGTTATTTAGAATCTCACAACCTAATATCACCTTCTCAATTTGGTTTCCGTACTGGATTATCCACTAATGATGCTGTTCACGAACTGATCGATTCTATAGTGACCAACCTTGATAATAAAAGGAAATGTCTTACTATATTTCTCGACTTAGCAAAAGCATTTGACACAGTTTCTGTTCCCCATCTCATCTGCAGGCTCGAGGAGCTGGGGGTGAGAGGAATTCCTCTTGATCTTTTCAGGGACTACTTGACTGACCGGAAACAGTGTGTTGGGATCGATCATTGGCTGAGCGATGAACTCCCCGCCACCTACGGCGTCCCCCAGGGTAGTATTGTTGGGCCTACCTTGTTCTTGGTCTTTATTAACACCCTGTGCAACCTTAAGCTTCCCTATATCAGGATTTTGGCCTTCGCTGATGATACGGCGCTTTTCGTCAGTGGACGGAGCTGGAGTGAGGTCTTTGCCTCTGCGCAGAATGGTCTCAACGTCGTGTGTACCTGGCTGCGACAGAATCTGTTAACTTTCTGTTAGATCCCATCTTCTGCCGTCGTTGGATTTAACTCTCAGGGTGCATACATCCTGTAACCTTAGTCACCTAGACTGCCCTTGTCCTCATATTACTAGAACTGAATCAATTCGATACCTAGGCATCATCATAGATCAGTCTCTTACTTTCAAACCCCGTATTGACTCTGTAGTACCTCGTCTCCGTAAGCTTATCTACATTTTCAGGACGTTACGGTGTGTGGCTGACCAGAAAACTCTGACCACTGTCTACTTTGCCCTTTGCCAATCAGTTTTAGGGTATTGTATAACGTCATGGGGTGGAGCCTCTGAAACTCATCTCATTGAACTGGAACGGGCTCAACGAGCTATTTTGAAGGTGGGAACTGGTCTTCCCTACCGTTACCCAACTAGTGAACTCTATAAGCTATGGGATGTGCTTACCGTTAGACAACTATTTGTTTGTAACACTGTCCTCAAAAAGCACTCCCTACTTGTATTTGATCCTAATATCACCAAGGATAAACGTAGAAAGGGCACGGTCTGCCAATCCCATTCTGTTAACACCAATTTTTCCCAACATTTCTTCTGTTTCCTCGCTCCCTACTTGTACAACAAATTAAACACAAAGCTTTCTTTTTACGCTCTCCCAAAATCTCTCTGCAAAAAAACTGTATCCCGTTGGATTAAAACCCAAAATTATGAGGAGACTGAGCAACTTCTTCTTATCCTCAAATAAAACATCTCTCACTTAACTGTTCCCAAGTCGTAGTTCTCTCGCCTTAACACATTCGCACACTATACATTCCACACACCCCTTACGTACAATTCTTACACTCCTATTCAGTAACACATTCACCTTATAAACACTCCCTCACTCAATTTCACACTTTTCATATTGTGAGTTTACTTAATGTCAAACCTTTAGAGGGTTCTTTTAAATAATAAGTTTAGTTCACTAGTACCCTTATAATTCTAAATCAGGATTATTCCACTAACTTTTATATATTTTATCCTTTTTCACAACCTCTGTGCCACAACCAAATTGCTCAACTGCAGAGTGGAAGCCTGGTGACCCGTAATTCAGGTTTTTCTATACCTATCTCGGGCACCAGTCTCTCACAAAACAGTCTGACCAATTTTTGGTCTTGTATTTTAAGTTCCTTACTCTTAAGCCTGTTTTGTGATTGAGAAATAAATAAACTTCATTCATTCATTCATTCTTTTCCCAATTTTTATTTCCCCAACAAACCGTTTGACCAATGTATCTAATTAGATATTCTTATTTTGTAAAAAAACGATATCCATGATACATTTTTGTTATATTTTTTTTATTACAGCATACAGGTACTAAAAGTATTATTAGAACGTGTCGCACAATACAACTCGTCAAATTAAAGCACCTCGCAACTTTAGAAAATATGGTAAACGAGATGCAAATTAATTTGATCGAGTTGTAGTCACTCGCTTTGCTCGTTTGGATCATGCTGCTTTTTCATATACTAACCTAACCTAAACCTACAGGAGGGGGTCGTACCGTCTAGGTAATGCAAACAAATTCGGCTCTGGCACTCGCCATCCGCTACCGCGTCACGCTCACGCGCCTCGTGCGGCTTTTTCATATACTAACCTAACCTAAACCTACAGGAGGAGGT